AAATTTAATACGCAAGTACTTACCGTACTACAAGTATACAGAGAGTAGATTTGCTACTCCCTTTTGGCAGCAGCAAATATCTCTCGTACGCGATGAGGGAAAGTAGAGTACGTACTTTGGTGGAGTAATAGCAAGTACGTCAAGTATTTACTCTCTCAACGCCAAGTAGTGTATGTATGCGGAAAAAAAGTAACAATGTGTTGGGAGTAGAGTACAATGCAAGGAGTACTTATTGAATGAAATGCGGCAAATACAATTGCGCTGGACTCTAATATAAATGTATGTATGTCGAAAACCATTTAAATGGCTCTGTTTTGAACAACTGAATGCTTTCTTTCAAATAAAAAATTGCTCTGGCGGTAAAAAAAGCTTCGCCGATATGTTCTATTTACTTAGTAGAGGTGTCAAACTATCGATAGTCACACCATCGATAGTTTTGATAGTTTTCAGAAAAACTATCAATATTCACGATAGTCTCGAAAAAAAAACAAAACTATCGATAGCGCTAAATCAGTTAGGTTGCTTTGTTTTTACAGGGTCATAGTGAAATAATTATTATCTTATAAAAGATATAATTATTCAAAATTAAGTAACTGCTTAGCCAAAATACTTCTCTTTTTAGAAAGTTCAAAAACAAACACAAGTTATACAAATAAAACAGGATTTACGATTAACACATGTATGTATGTTGGCCTAAATGCGTGCATATTTGAATATGACGTCGGCATCACACTAAAAAACAAAATTTTTAATTCAAATTAAAAAATTCAGGTATTACCAACAATAGTTCGATAGTCCTACTAAACTATCGATATTTTTGATAGTATAAGAAAAAACTATCAATAAGTATTGATAGTCTAAAAAAATTTAAACTATCGATACTATCGATAGTGCCATCGATAGTTTGACAACTCTATTACTTAGTTTGTCCGTGAAAGATCGACTTAAGTTATTTTGTCAAATTTCCACAGATATATATTTGAATAAATCAAAATGCTTTTTTAGATTAGTTACACAAAAATCTCGTTACACCAGAAACCCTCTGGTCTGATCTCTTTCGGTGCCAAAAGTTACGCCAAACGAAAGCTAATGATCTTCTTAATAACAGAAAAAAAACTTCGAGTGTTTTTTTAATGCGTTCCTGGACGGTTAGTCCAGTCGGTCAGCAGTTGCGAGTATACCTTCGATAGTTTATAAGTTGTTTCAGCTCCCTAGATGGCGCTACATTCAAAATATTTCTTTACAACAGCCTACATACATGTGTGGAACTTTCGCGTCACTATGACGATCTGTTAGCTTTAACTTCTTGGTATGAATACAAATATATATTTATATGAAACGTTTGATAAACACAATAGTGTTATTCACCAAATTGAGCAAGTAGCCCTGGCAAAAGAGCAGCTGAACTCAAGCAGCGAATGTTGACAGCAGTCGTTGCTTGATCTGATCTGCCCTTTTGCCAGACTGCCAGGCCACTTGCTCATCACTTGCTGGTGAATGCCACTAATGTTGAAGGGAAAGAAAAACGCAAAGATGTCGAATTGTTATTCCTCTGTCCCGCAAAAGAGATTCTCAGTCGTTAAGGCCACTTTCAGTGCGATTTTGTTCAAGAAAAATGTGAACTATGACTAAGAGACTGACAATCAATGTAGCGTTTACGATAGTGAAATTATCAGTGCGACGAGTGTCAATAAATCAGCCATAGCTGCATCATTGAATCTATTCCTAATGAGAAATCGAAGGGTTTCCTGTAGATTTACCACGAAAATTAAAAAAAAAAAAATACTAGTGCTAAAAGTAGTTCATAAATAAAAAATTAAAATAAAAACGCAAAAATGGATGTATTGAAGGGCTGTCACAATCCTGAAGCCATCGACCAGGACACTTATTCCCTATAAATACAGTTTCTTTGGTTCTGGCGTTGCATTATTTTTATTTATTTTCTGATATTATAAGCAATATAGTTTGGTGGCACAATCCGTAGAGCTGAATGATGATGAATGATTTTTCTCTGAATTTTTTTAATCATAAAAGAACAGATTTCTCTTGACGGTGACGTAACTTGGGAAAATGTTTGGCGCTTTTAACGTTGTCTTGAATGCTTGCCTTAACACCATTAGCAAATTTCCACAAATCCTATAATGCTTTTCATGATCATTTTGCCATTTCGTAGATGCATAACCTAGAGATAATTTAGGTAGGCTATCTGAAGTGAAGGCATTCTAATAGAATTATCCAATAATGACTGAAAAAAGGTGCTTCCCTGCATGCTTCCTAGGTTTACAATTTACGCGAATGTACTTAAGTATATGTTTATATAATTTAGCATTACAAATAGGATTCAATATTTTATGTCTCAATAAAACTTATTTGCTCTGAACCTTGAATACTTAAATTGCTTAAAGAAGTATGATTTTTATGAAATAAAAACAGCTTTAAAAGAACTTCTTCGAAAGGCCTTAAGAAGCTCGTCCTAAAAAGCCCTTCTGGAAGCTCTTCTTTGAGTAGCGAAGGCAGAAGCCCTTCAATTTGTGCCACTCCGTACAGGATTCTCGACTGACAGAAAGCTTAACCTATTTTTCAAAGCGAAAATCTGCTAAAAATTAGATGGGTGTCTGCACTGATCTTCAATAAAAAACCAGGACAATTTAAGTGTGGACCAGGACGCCACGACAATTTGTTTAAATCAGGACAAATCTTGGAAAATAATGATGTCTGGCAGCCCTAGTGTATTGGAGAAAACTATGAAGCACTAGGTCTATGGATTTGGCCTTTTTTGAACTGAGAAAGGTATGCAATAAACTTTTTAAAAAGTTTCAAGCATATATTATTTTGTATATTGTAGTTTTTTTTAATTCAGTGCGTTCTGTTTGTAGGTCAAGAAAAGAAAAAAATCTAAAATTTTACTTACATATGTGTTTTTCTTTTTACCTTAAAAAATTAAACTGGATTCATTGATGCAATAACAGCAAAAATATGTGTTTGAAGCTTTTTAAAAAGTTCATTGCATTGAAAGACTTCCATTTGTAATATATATATATTTCGCTGTTTGTTCTCGTTCTTAATGATTAAAATGGTTTTAGAGGATTTCCAACTACGCTGAAATGTTTTAAAATTGATAATAAATATATAATTCGCCTCCCCCATATTTTAAGACGATTAACACGTCTTGTGAATTCCGAGAATGGCTATTTTTGTGAATGTAATGCTCAACATTGTCATTCAATATTGTGCATTTTTATGATAGACCACACCTGAAGCTCAGCGTAAATTATTTATTTATTTCAATTTATATATTGCGTTAAGGTCCGGCTTGCAGACTTTCCAATAGATATTAATACTATGCCCGGATTATTGCGGCATACGGATTATACAGAATGCGGAAGATGAAATCAATATTTATTTGACGCTTAGACTGGTGTTTTTTTTCATTTTTCCTAACAAACAAATCGTGGTACAAAGTTCAATAACACTACTGACATTTATTTACTTTATTATTTTATTAAGTGTAATAAAAGCTCATTTTGCACTTATCAACCGAAAACCTTTTGAACTTTGCCAACTTTTATAAAAAAAAATTACTCTTTTCTATGTGTGTGTATGTATTTAGGTATGTTAAATTGTTATTGTTAACGAAATTATATATATTGGCAGTCCGACTTGCATGTATTTGCGATTAGATTATTGAGGGATCCACAACGGTGACGTAAGTGTCGTATTGTTGTATGTCGTAAACTTTAAAAGCTCAAATAAACGTTTATTGGACTTTAAATCACAACCAACTGTTTTTTAACACTGCGAAAATTCATAATATAACTTTGATGGTATTTTTCGAACCCCTTAATATGTTTTTAAAGCTAAAGTTAAACACATACAAAAGTTTACGACATACAACAATACGACACTTACGACACCGTTCTGAATACCCCATATAATACATATCATTTCAATTGTGATTTACTATAGTTTTACACAAAATGTATTTATGCATTACAAAATTATGACACCGATTGTGATTTTAGGCTTCTGTTTCGTCACAAAGTTATGCAATAAATCCAAACCGGAAGAAATTTATTAACTTTACTATTATAATCGAGATATCACAAGATGGTCGGAGTTTAATAATAATTCTAAAAACCTAAGAAAAAAATAAGAATAATAAACAGCAATATAGCGAGAGTACCAGTTTGACAGGATGCTGGCCATCTTTATGGATCCCTTATGTTCTACGTTCTTTGTGATTACGAAAATTTAACGAACGTTTGTCCCAAAACTAGTTTTTGGGCCATAGTATAGTGAGACTCTTATTAAAGTAAAAAAGAGATCACTGAAAATCGGGATTCAATCGTACAAATATGAAAGATCGGGACACTTACAAGTCCGACTATTGAAAAATATTCAGCGGGACAATGTTTTTAAAATCTGTATTTCCCGCCAATATCGGTACGAATGGTCAACGTACTTATTTCCAGTGGCGGATTTACCGTAAAGGCAACATAGGCAGGTGCGGCAAAATATGGGGGCGGCAAAATTTGAGTTAAACAAATTTTTTTTTTTCAGTAAGCTGCACTGAAAGTAGATTTTTTGATTGTACATTTTAAGACATAATTATGCAATCAAAAAATAAGACAACGCTGTTAGGTATTTTTGATATTATTTAAATGATAATATTTAAAAATACCAATTTAATATTTTTGAGTTTATTACTTATCAAGTGTATAGTAAATAACATGAATTTGCTGCTAATCGTTTCAAAACTGGTACTTTTACCTCAAAATATTTTTCTTTTCGGAAAATGGGCGGCAAAATCTGAATTGCCTAGGAGTGACAAATATTCAAATCCGCAGATTATCTAATTTTTTAAATTTGAAATAAGTTACAGATCGCGCTTTTTATATATATTTGTACAGAATTAGATTAATATTACTTTTCGAATAGGTGGCAACACTAATCAGAAATATTTTCAAACTAAAGTTTCCTTAAAACTATTTCGTTTCAACTCATATAGTCTATTTAACCTAATACAAGTTTAGTAAATTCGAGTTTTCAAGAAGGTGGCAACCCTATTTAAAATTATATTCAAATATTTTATTATCTCATATAACTTCTGTATAGACTAACTAAATTCCACTTTTTTTAAACAGGTGGCAACCCTCTTCAAATCATAACACGTATTTCAATTACCTAATTACCTTAATTAACGTTGAATTTGATTTTTTAAACAGGCGGCAACCCTCCATCTAATTACGAAATAAAGCCGTATCAAACCTCCTTCGATTGGTGTGGGTATCGAAATTATTTGAATACATTTTTTTAATGGTGGCAACTCTTTTCGAAAAAGTTAAGCCTTATTACACATCTTATCTACACTGCAAATACAAAATATTTTCGCCAACACTCGTTTCCGCATATTTCGCAGGATATCTTTCTTGACATGAGAATAAAAGAGAACCCATGCAAGAGAGCATTTTCGGATGAATTGTACCTTCTAGACGTCATTGAAGTCAAAAGCTAAAAGAATACAGATATGTACGTACATACATACATATCGTCACCAGAAATGCAAAAAGACGTAGCAAACATCATCGTTGAAATGCAGAAAGTCATAACTAATAGAAAATTCAAAACTTACTTTTTGGTCTACTACACATATATAGAATGGATTTCATCGAATTACAACTCCCCACATCATTTTATGAAAAAAAATAATTAAAATATTATTCACGACATTTTATTTACGGTGTTGTTATGTCTTTTTACATTTCAGGTGACGATATGTAGGATCTGATAGGTTTCACAATATTGGCCCCTATGTACATATGTATAAAATCAGGCTTGATTTTTTATTCTTATTAAGTACGCTTGATATGTATTAACACTTTACTCAGACAATTTGTTCTGGTAAATTGTCTCCAAATTTCAATTACTTGTGCCACTTGTGCATATCTATCAGAAGGATAACCCTCGCGAATTTAAATACTTTCTATCGTATTTAAATAGTACGACTTCCATTCGCTATACATTTTCACTTACACTCAATAGCCCATTCGTAATATTCATCGAGCGCCGCCGATA